AATTTTGTATTATTACAACTTACTGTTTCTTGATCTGGATCTGTGTTATTATTATTTACTGTTTCTTGGTTTTCATCCGGATCCAAATCTTGATTTACATCTGTTGATCTACTTAAAGAATTGATTTCAGTATTATCAATTAAATCATTTAAATCGGTAATCGATTCTTGAATATTTTCTAACCCAAATAGGTCTAGAGTTTCATCTTCGGAAAGAATACTTGTTTCAAACAAGTAATCAAGTACCGCAGAATGTTCATGTGGAATACCACCAAATACAAGCTCATATGGTCTTTTATTATGTGCTCTACAAATTGAGTTATTCATTGAATAAATCACGAATCTCAATCCGAATAACCAATCTTGATGGTTATTATCCTCCATCCATTTTCCTAGTTTTACTTCAAGAATTCCATTTGCTCTCTCCACCAAGCCTTGATTAGCAGGATGTCTTGGTCTACCATTAATGATTTGAACCATGGGCCATAAACGAACTAATTCAATAATTACTGAAGAAATGAATTCCTTTCCATTATCTGATTAAAGGATCAATGGTGATCCAAGTGTGGTAAAAATCTCAAACAGAAATGCTGCTACTTCTACTGCTCGCTTTGAGGTAAGTGCATGAGCCCAGAAGTATCTTGTAAAATGATCATGCACGTGAACAATATATTTAAATTGATTGTCAAGTTTAAAGGTCATGTCGACTAAATCAATCTATTTTAAATTAAAGTTTATTACAATAAAAATGAGTTACTATTAATAAAAACACATAAATAATAATAAATTTACTTGTAATCGTGACATAAACTTTCGTTCAATAATTGGGATCCCGGCTAATGGTTGAACTCTTGTTAGCCTTGTTGTGCAAATATTACATTGTATCACAAACTTTTCTACAAGATCTTGTCGACAATATCCCCATTTACTGCTAATTTGATTCCATGTTTCCTTTTGGCCAGCATGTTGAGTAACTGTGGCATGTATTTTGCAAAATTCATCATACATGTTTTCTGTAACTAATACAGGAAGTTCAATGATGATTTTTTCAATATTTTTTTTATTTTGTTTTCGAACATGGAGTACAACATATGAATCACCGATCTTCTGTAATTTAAATTTATTTTTGGCCCAATAACGAAACGTTGAAGTATAAAGTGTAGTATTCGTGGGATCAAGAAGAACTTCCTTAATTTTTTGTAGTTTTTCTTGATCTATCAGTGCCTTTTCTTTCTTATTTGGAGCTAAATTTTCAATATATTTTTTAACCAAGTCATTGAAAGTTTGCCGTGAAATAAATGAATGCTCCATAGTAATTTAATTCAGTACGAATACATATTAATTGCAAAAAAAAAGTCAAAACGAAAAAATTTTATTATATATTATTACATATTACATTTGTTATGCGCATTTGAGTCTGACGCATAAATGATGAACTAGTTTGACGCATCTTGGATTTAAATTCTGATCCGACGCAACTCAATTTTAATTCTACACTTCTCCGAATTTGACGCACGACATAAATATTATGAAATATATGTATCAAGAAAGGCAATTAAAAAGTGATGAAATTAAATTCAGAATAAATAATGAATAT